GACGCAACAAGCCGGAACACGCTGCGACAGAGATCGAGCTTCCTAGATGCCGAAAAATTCGCGTTTCTCCCGTGTAAAAGTTCAAGGGGTACACGTATTGGTAAGCGCGAGGATCCCCCCATAGGTGACCTTACCCACTCCGCAGACAGGGGGGCCGCTGTAGGGGCAGGGAACAAGTAAAAATACAGTAGAAAACAAACAAAAGCATTTAGTCAGAAGTGGGGCGGATTGTTAAAACAGGGCTGAGAGAACGGAAGAAAAGTCTGAATACTCGCAAGGCCGGCAAGCCATCGAGGCACTGCTGAAGAGCGCTGCTTGGAAGCCGGCTCAGTTACAGGAACTACTGTTATTTGTCTTGGGAAGAGCTTGTTTCTTTCGAGCCGAGGACTGAAATAACAAACTATTTTGAGATTTGAATGTTTTCCTGCTCATACCGTGGACCTAGAGTGCATGCGGCATAGACCCTGGTTAGGTTAGGGAGTGCTCTAATGCCATTCTTGTTGGTTGTTCTTTCTCTCCCCCCTCATCAGGGCTGCCCAAGGAAATAAAGTGTTTATTTGAGTCCTGCGGGACTCCCCTTGACTTCCGGCGGAGGCGGAACTGCGGAGAGCGTTTGCTCCAGTCTCCCCAACTGCGTATCCAGTGTAGGGTTTAGGGCTTGGTGTTCTGGCCCTCTCTGCGCTGGGACGTTGACCGCCGCTCGTTTGCAACGGCATCAGAGGCTGTGCAACCGGAGGCTGCTATGGGGAAGTATGCTTTGCTGTTCCCTCGTCTTGTGAACAATGCACAGTTAAGAATAACACAAACCGCCAAAGTCTGTCCAAGGCAGCTGCTGGATGCAGCGCTGCTGGCACCTCCCCTCCCTTCTCTTGCGGCCTCTGGTTCTTCTCCCTTGCCCGGCACACAGGAGGCGCCGCCCCCTTCCATGAAGGCAGACTCCTGCTTATCCGCAGCCGCCCAATGGCGCCCTATTTTCCCTCAGACTTTCCCCCCCAACGCACACCTGCACGAAGGAGCAGCGAAGGAGAGCCGCGTCTCCGAACATCAACATGCAAAAGCAGAACGGACGTGGGAAATACTGGAAATGCATGCAGTTGCGGCATTGCCTAGCCTGAGGTCCGCCTGCAGGCCCAAACCTCTATGCACAGCACCGCTATGGGTGTCCATGCACTATAAGGAATCAGTAAAGGTTTAGAAGGCCCGTTGCTGTGCAGTGCTGCGAACTCGTCGTGCGTTCTAGGGTTTGGCGTTTAGGGTTATGCATGCGCTATGCTGCTGCCTCCGTTGGCTGTGTTCAGCCCAGCGGGGATCCTCCAGTTTCTGTTTCTAGCCTTAAGGGCGAACTTTCATCCCAAACACTTCCTTGCAGAGGTCCGTTGTGGCTACATACAACTCCTCCCAAAGACAGCTGTCAGACAACTGACTGCCGCCTTTGAGAGTCTAGGGTTTAGGGTTTAGGGTTGCCAGAGGCCAGGACCTTCATCAGCTCGTCAGGGACGCATTTATGGCTACACCTTTACCTGCATGAAACCGAGCGATCTGTGGGTTTTGTGATATGGAAGATTCTGTGCTGCTTGGAGGCGGTGCTGTGGGATTGCGGTGCAGTACCTTGCTCTTTGTCTGTGTTGCTGCGAGACGCAGCTACGACGCTTTGCGCTTGATGGTGAGCCTGCGGCTCCCCCTGTCGATACCTTTTGGTTGTTATGGACGGCTAACGACTTGGCGCTCTTCTGCAAATTGTTAGCAGAGTCGGTCAGCCACTTGAAGCTTCGTAAAATCCTTTGTCCAGTTCCTCTGCCTATGCCCTGAAGAATTGCTTTCTCGCTCCGCTGATTACCTTTGCCCTGGATAAACAGGGTGGAAGGGAGGGGACCCTTGGCCGGGGCGCGAGCCAACTCTTCCCACAGTGCACTCTGCAGTGTGTGAGGGGGGATGGAAGCAGGGAGTTTGCGTGCGTGCGATTGTCTGCGTGCGTGTGTATGGTTGGCTTTGGATGCTTTGACAGGCACCACGTGGACGACGCGGATCTTGTTGCAAAACTGCTTTCACGTGTCGCTACCAGTCTTTCTTACTTCAGTCCCGAGGACGTCGCTCTTATCTTGGGGGCTGCGGCTGGGGAATCATCCTCCAGCCTGCGAGCAGCGCTGCTGCAGCAGCAGGAACAGCAACCAGTCGCAGCTGGGAAAGCTGCACAGCCCGGAAACGGCCCTGAACCTCTCCATTTTCCTCCCGCAGCTGTGACTGCCAGGGCCCCCTCAGCTGAGGGAAACGGAGACGGTAGCCGGTCGTGCAAAGCAGGTCTTCCGCTATTTCTGTTGCTTTTACAGCGTCTAGCCTCCCAGGTAGGTCTGTTGGCGGTGGGGGGACAGAAAAAGGGGCGGGAGGCAGAGGCCCTTGCAGTCTACGTGCGCCGGCATGTTTCTTCTCCTTGTCTCTTCTCCTTGTTGCTTTACAGCTGCAGGAAGCCGACGTGAATGATTGCGTGCGGGCCTTCTTCGCTGCCTCCGGCATCTACGCTGAGTTGGTGAGCTCTGAGTGAACTCTGCGTTTCTTGTCTGTTGACGTTTTTGTGTTGGGCACGCTGCGCTTACGGATGCAACGCTTCAGTCTTTAGTGACGAGCTTGCAGTCTCATTAGCTCTGTCCGTGTGTTTCTGTCTTTTGTCTGTACCTGTTCTGGTCGCTTGACAGGCTAAAGATGCGGTGTCCCTCTCACCACCAGGGTCCAGTGGGGCAGCAGCCCCTCAGCATAGTGCAGTTTCCGCTGCTCTAGAGCCGTTCCGTCTCCTGACAGAGCACTTGAGGTGCAAAGTCGCAGTAGCTTCGGCCAGCGCAAAGTTACGGTGTGTGATTATTAATTGTATATATGTAGCAACATCATTATTACAGTATGACAATAGTAACATTATGTTGAGTATTACTTTCACAACTGGTATTATTATTGACAGTAATATATTTGCTGTTGCTGAATGGGTTGTTATCCGCAGTTCGAATTATTGTTTTCCTCACCATTGGACCAGCCTTTTTATAGAGATTATTACTTATATTATTGCACTACAATCCGATGGATTGAAACCCTCATTCAACCCGCTGGGGGGCCCCAGTTGTGTGGCGGTCGGAAAGCACAGCTTTCGTAGGGGATCCCTACACTGGGGGGTTGTGCTGTTCGCAGTGTCGTCACCGGTAGCGTTCGCCTGCTACAGTCCTTGAGGAAGGGGCCCGGGGGAGTGTCTCTGCAGGAAGCTGTTGCTGCTGCTGTGGACGCTGCAGCGGCAACCGAGTTCACTACAGCAGCAAGCAGTGTGCCTCTGCCGAATTGCAGCGCTGCAAATGACACTAGGCCGATGACGGACAAGCCCTTCAGCCCACTAGTTTATCCCCAGCAGGCTATCAAAGTTGCAGTTCTCAAGAGTCCTCTCTTTGCTGTCCGTTCAAGGAGAGGCAAAGGCAGCCAGACACTCAACTGTGATCAGAAGCCTGCAGGCTCGTGTTCAGCCTCCGCCGCAGATACGTTAGAAGAGGCCTTGAAGGAGACGCTCTTAGCCTTTATCTCCAGTCTGTGTTCGTAAGAAAGAATGCTTCTGGAATTACGCGTGCCTGCGGATGCTTTACACAGAGCGCAAATATCTCATTGCAACATATTTCAATCTAGTTCAGTGCAGCCTTGGAAAATATAAATATAGCAATTATGCATCGGATGTACTTTTGCGCGGGCTACTGGGGAACTGCAGCCTGACAGCTGGAGTCCTGGGGGGTGATTGAGTGTGCGCAGCGTTCCAGGAGACTTGAAGGCCGCCGAGGGGATGATATTCTTAGGGCTCCTGTGGCAGCTCTGCATTCATTACGGTTTTTCTGTCCCATTCTCATGCGTGGAGGGTACGCAGCTTTTCTACTCCCACTCATCCACTCCAGAGTTTTTTGAGCTACACGCCCCTATGCGCTTATTCATTATCTTTCCTAGACTGCGACTGCTCTTACATGCGTGCAGCTATAATATGCACGTGTATACCTAGAGGAAATGTAG